TATAGAACAAAAAACATAGCTTTTTTGCCGGTCCTGCAAGAAAAAAGTGGCTATTTTATTTTTCTTGGCAACTGAGTTACTCCTTTAAAAAAAACTAAGCAGACTTAATAAATCCGGTATATGTTCCCTCGTGCCCAATATGATGATTAAATCTTGGATGTAAACTACTGCACCTTGTTCCTTAAATGCCCTGAACATTTTCTCTTTTCAACACATGTAATATGGTGATTTTTTTTAAATGTAGCTTTTTACATTGCATAGGCACAATATTACGCATACTGTAAAACCATGGCAAATACTAAAAGCATTTATGAAGAGTAGCTTCTCAGTAGCTGTTTTTCAAATGGTAAATATCTTGGCTGTTTCTTTTTCTTATGAGAGAAGAAAGGTTTAATTCATATAATGGAATGGCTGCTTGTAAATTATAATTTTAAAATATTAACTATGTTTTAGTTAGAACTTGCACAGGAAGAAAAGAATTGGAAACATTTTGCTATTCTTTTCAGTATAAAATGCCTTGACCAATTTTTGATCATTTTTGGTAAGGAAAAAAAAAGAACAAACAAAATATGTAGCTTGCCAATTTGTATGCCAGGTGTCAGATTGATGCAATTAGAAAAGGCCAAGATATTAAGCCATGAAAATGTGACGTATGATGGAAATGCTGATAGGCTCAAAATCTGCACATTTCCTCCCTTTGTTATACAAGATGAAATTGCCTATTGCATCATCTGTTTTATTTTCTTGATCATATGTCAGTAGGGAAGCTAATTTTTAGACCATTTGTGCAGTTAGGAATGAGATATTAAGTATTGCTTTTAAGACACTGTCTTTCTTTTAGACTTTTTTGAACAAGCTGTATTTTGAGGTTAATTACAATTTGGTTACTTATGCAAGGAACCATCATTGATTTAAAGAGATTTCTTTACTTTTGATTAAAAGAAATAACAGCTCTAATCAGACTAATATAGGGTAATGACCTCATGGGCATATCTTCACATTTGCATTTTATTAGCTGATTTTGAGTTTTCCTTTTTCTTATAGGCTTTTTCTGGAACTGTTATAGAAAAAGACCCTTTGTCTCCCTCCTTAATACCACACCCAAGCATTGCTCACCCTGGCCTGCCTACCATTCCAGAGCGAAAATCAGAGGAAGTTCTGTCTGAAGCATCAGAAGGAACTACAAAGAGGATTTCAAAATTCAAAGCTGCCAGAATGCAACAGACTAACTAGGTCCTGCCTACACAATGGAAGTTTGAATATTAACACCTAGTTTCACATTTGTTGAGATTATGTAAAACTATGTGCATTACACCTAGGTAGTATAAAAGGCATCCTATGTTAATTTGGCATCATTTTATCAATTTAGATCGCTATTGTTGATGGGGGTTTTTTTCTTTTAAAGAAAAGTTAAGTGTTTGAACACTTCAATATTCAGTTTATTTTGTCAATTTCCCTGTATGCTGTCAGCACCTTTGTATATGTTTGCCTTATGATAGCAGCACTTGGAATTATTTTCAAAGAATACTTCTCACACGCATTGTTTTTGTGTTTAAACCTAAATACAGGCAGTTTTGTACCAGCTGTGATGTTCTACATACCATATGGACCATTTTAAGGAAACTTTTCAAATTTAAAATGAATCCAACAATTATATTTCATTACTTGCTTTAGCATTTTAAGACATGTATTCACATTGTTGTAGATTTTGCAACTAGGTGTCTGCTAAAAGTTGATTTTTTTCCTTCTGTTAATTCTAATATCTTACTGTACAGATCTATAAATCAGAATGCTGTGTTCATTGCAGGGAAGTTTCTTTGATTGAAAAGGGTATTTTGTAAAATTAAACTTTTCAAGTAAAAAAAAGCTGTGAAATCTTTTCTTCTCTTGTGTTAATATGTTAATACTTGAAATAAAACATGCAAAGAGGTTTTTATTTTGAACTCAGATACTAACTTGAAGTGCTTACTATTGCAAAGACGTGAGTTAGTCTGTTCTCTTCCCCTTGTATCTATACAGCTCCAATTAATGCCTGTGGCAAGTACATGCTCATTGGAAGAAGAATATAGACCCAAACTATAGTGGCAAAATCCCCAGTTCAGTATATGTACAAAAAATATTTGAATTGTCAAGGGAATGCCCAGAAGGAGCCAGTGCTTAAGATAAGTGTATTAATAACTACAACTTTATCTCAAAATACAATGGCAATAAGGTACTTGGAATTGAAGGGGGAAGAGAAACATTTTGCTGCAGCAGGTAGATATGATTGCTCTCCTCACCGTGTTTCCTCCCCTCTCGCAGGTCCTAAACCTACTAGAATGGTGCCTTGTGGGTTTGGGCCATCCAACTTGAACAGCAATTCATTTAAGTACTACTGGAAAAAAGGAGCCTGGGCTACAACCCAACCAGCACTTTCAGTTTCTGTTCTCAAGGTTGTCACTGCTCCAATGGTATAAAATATCAGCTCACCCAACAACCAGGTACCATCTCCTCATATTTTAAAGATGAGCGATATCGTTTGTAATGAAAAACCTCCTTAGTTACATTGGTTTTAAAATATGGGCACTCTTGCTACAACTACCAAGAATCAGCACAGTGGCTCACCTAAATTCTAAGGCCATATCTATGTCAAGTTTTTGTGGATGTAGCTGTTGGGTGCGAGTGGTTTAAAAAAAAAAAAGAAACGCACACTTTCTGAATACAGCTGTCCTTGGTTTAGGGAAGGTTGTTTGGCTGGGTTGGCAGAAAAACTCCTTTTGGCATATGCTGCCTCTCCACTAGAGGGCTCTGCTGACACAGCTATGCTGCTTTGCTAAAGAGGCAGAGGCTCATCTGCTAAATCAAAGATGTATGCCTATGTTGATAGAGCAACTCTTTGTACAAGTACAAGCAGTGCATGACCTATTTCCTTCGCAAGATACTTCTGTGCTAAGGGTGAATACTGGCTCTGTCCCATTTTTGTGTCTAAGTATATGGGCAGGATTAACAAAAAAGGTGGAGTGGGAACAGTAAGAGGACCCTGTCCTTGCTGGAGCCTCACTAACTGAGTAATCAGTTAGAACCTGCTGGGTAAGTGATTGAGGAGATTGTACCAACACAGGCTGGTGATACCTCTGAAAACAATCTTGATAAATCCCCTTGACCCAGTGGGGGCTTGGAAGTCTATTTTTTGATAGAAAATTATTGAACTATTTAACTGAAGGCCCTTGCTATTGAGCATGCATCCTTCCCACCTATGCTTCACAGAAAGGGAGTCACATTCCCTTTCTCTGCCCCTTGGTACCACATCCCCATTTCCTAAGGGGCTGTATGGGATCTAGGAGGAGCCTCCTACATAGAGAAGGCTGAGGACTTTGGCGGCATGCGTTGTTCTACCTGTGCTGGGAATTAGCTCTTCTGTCTGTGGGTTCAGGGTTTTTAAAAGTGCAGCCTGGGAGCAGTGACCAGCTTTGCTTGGGTGGCTGCAACCCTGCTCCTAGAACTCCTGCCCACCCTCCCTTTCCCCAGTGGGGCAGGCAGACCACACCATAGAAGAATCAGGTAAGAATCCTGCTATCCCTACTTTTGGCTCTTCCTCCCTTCCCCATGCTCAATGGCACCTCTCCTCCCTGCCCTCCTCCTTGATTGCCTCCGGATGTAGGGAGGCCTGCCTGCCACCACCACTGTCCTGGCTGCTCCTGAACTCCAGCTGGGGCTGTAGGGAGCTTTGGGTGGGCTCCCCTTCCCTGCCATATTCCCAGGCTGGTGGGGAACACCCAGGGGGACCTGATCCTACTGCTCCTGCCCTTGGCTGAGCCCAGCCACAATGCAACCTGGCTGGAGCAGGGCAGGGCACAAATGGCTCTGGAACTCTCCCTGCCCCCAGGTCAGCTGGGGACAGTGGCAGTGACAAGTGTGAGGAGAGGGTAGGGAAGGAGAGGGAACGTGCCCCTGAGCATGGAGGGGAAGAGAGAAGGTGGCAAGAAGGATGGGATTCTTACCTGCTGTGGTGACTTAGAAGTCCTTGGCTGCTACTTCTGCAGTCTGGTCCAGAAAGGGCTTGCACCCCCTCTACATCCACCCCAGCTGCTTCCATAGATGGATGAATGGCTTCTGCTCCTACAAAAAAACAGGCAGCTGTGGTCACTTGTCCTAGCTCCATTGAAGGTAATGGATCTGTAACAACTGACACTAGGTTGCCTGACCCTTAAGCTATTCTGACTGGAGGGGGGTGCTGCAAGGTAGCTCAGACCTTTGCTAGCTGACCACCTGACTGGACAGATCCCTCCAAGATTCAAAGGGCCTGAGGGCGTAACAGTCTTCCCCTAGGAAAGAGGAGGAGGAAAAATTGGGGTGTTTTTCTGTATGCCTGGCTCTTCTTGCTGGTTTCCTCCCAGAAGGGGACAATCTGAGTATTACAACAGTCCTTTTAAGCAGTTACTGAGAATCATATTGAAAGTGTTAATGATTAACTTGATTCATGCTAAAATGTAGGCTTTTTTTTAAAGCATATTGCATTAGTACTAAAATAAGCCATCAATGCCAGTCCACCCTCTATTCACGGCTAAATATTTAAAGGAGGTTATTTATAGCTTCTTTAATGAATTCTTGGCTAAACAAAATGAAATTATGTCCTAGAAAAGTAGAAGCTATTTTGTAACCAGAACAGTGCAACTGTAAAATATAGTTCCATGAATATGTATTTTAAATAACAAGGGGTTGAGATCCAAGACTATCAGACATGGGTAATTAGAAAGAGACAGAGAGAGAGCCCCCCTTTAAAAGATTTATTTAGATATCTCTTAAAATACTTCCCACTCCTAGTTACATTGAATAAATTGAAATGCCCCTTGTCACTGTGGAGCATTTTCAAATCAAAGCCAATTCTTTGCTTATTATTTTCTGTGGTGTACCTTGGTTTGGAATGCAATATGGCCTGGATTCAGGAAAGCTTCCTTGTCCAGGAGGCTACTCAAGAAAGTGCTTAAGTTTCATTGAAGCCACGGGTTTCCCCTGAGCAGAATGAACTTCAGCACATGCTTAACATTAACCATATACTTCAGATGCATTTCTGACCTGGGGGCCTATGTATACCTTTCTTGCAGCACTTTCGGTGGAGGATCCCAGATATGTCTATTCCTGGTTTAGGCTTCTTACTTTGAGCTTTGTTGAGCCTTTGTAGCAGAATACTTCCAGTGCAGAAGCAAAAATGCACTTGGTTGAAAATGCAGTAATGCACATAGAGGTGGTAGTGGGACTACCTCTGTGATAGACCAAAGACTCTCCACGCTTGGTGAAGATTAAAAAGTCCTTTCTTTTTAATTCAACACAGGAGCAGAAGATGACACAGGAAACGACCGGTTGGTTGAATGAAATAAATATGTTTTATTAGAGGTGGGTATATTAAAATCTTCCCTCCATGTAGTAGTACTGCCCCATGTTTCTATGCATTTAAGTGTTATGGGATTAAATTAATCTGGCAGGAAAAGCATCCTTTTCTTTTCTGCTAAAGTCAGAGATTTTATTCACCACTTAAATAATAATGAGTGCAATGTTTAATTTTTTTAAATTTCTTGATTGCTTTTTTTTTTTCTGGTGCAGCAAGAGTGTTTGTGCTGAGTACTTCTGCCAGGGAGCCTTGACTTAAATAGAAGCCAAAAACAGCTACAAGTGACTGCTGCTGATTGGGATTGTCTGGTGAGTTTTTTTTTTCTACTGGATGTGTGAAAGGACCCAAGTGATTGTTGTCATGTGACCCCAATAGAAACTTAAGTGCTCAGGAGTCAGAGAGAGGTGGCAGAGCAGGCCTCTAGTGGGTGTGGGACAAATGTTATAGAACAGTCACTGGGAAGAAGGGCTAATTTTATACTTGTAGTTTCTTTACGGGGTTTGGAAATCTCATCTCTGGATAGTGCTGAAGGTAGGCTAAGAAAATACACATGGGGGATGAGCATAGGATATTGGCTCACAGTGACACTTTCAGGATAAAGCTTACCACAGGATGGGGCAGCTCTGCAATAATCTGAACAAGTTGGGACAAAGGGATGCGTTCCCAAATGAGGCTCTGGAATCATTTCTGTACCCCAGCTGGAGCAAATGGAGAGTAGGATTGTGTCATTCCTGAGGAGGCCATCAAAGTCTAACAAAGAGGGGACACTGGGAATGGGACACATGGGAAACAGAGTGCTATTAGAGAAAGGGTCTTCCAAGAATATAGATAGAAAACAGAAGAAAATAAAGTAGCAAATAAAGTGTGAAGAGATTCAGCAGCCATTCCATCTCCAGCTGGGGTCTCATCAGCTCTCAGAACCTAAGCAGAAGTAGATGTGGTAACGAACCCAGAGAAATTGCAGGAGGTGGGGCTGGTGATTCAGTAGATGGAGCATTTTCCTCTGAGTTGGTGTCTTGCAGTTGGCAAGGATGCTATCAAGAGGTGCTTAACCAGAGGCTGCAACTGAAAATTTGTTCTCACTGCAGGGATGTCAGTTAACTCAGAATGGGCAGCTGTATTCTATGACCAGTCACTCTTGGTTTTTTCCATGTTAATTTATGTCTAGTTTAGTTTCTTAGAATTAGGAAGTGGGACCCTCCTGTTAGGTGAGCATTGCTTATAGTGTAGGCATCACTAGACTTCTGTCTGTGGGCAGAGGGTTGGGTGCAGCTCCTGTCAGTCACTCATGTCCTATACCCCAAGTCCATCTTTAACCCTAGATGTCCTACATCCTGGCAGAGTACAGGCGTAGAACTAATCTTCTGGTCCTGCCTGTGCTAGTTAAATGAATGGTTAGCAAAATTTCTTAATACATATGAATTATGTGCAGACAAGGACTGTAGAGTCTGCTAAAATATTAGCTGGTCAGGCTAGGGGGCACTTTAACATCTTAAGA